TTTTCTTTTTCTTTCTTTCTTTCTTTCTTTCTTTCTTTCTCTCCTTCTTTCTCTCTTTCTTTCTCTCTTTCCTTCTTCCTTTCTTCCCTTCTTTCCCTCTTTTCCTCTTTTCCTCTTTCTCTCTTTTCCTCTCTCTTTCTCTCTCTTGTTCTACCTTCCTCCTATTTCCCTCTTATTCTCCACTCTCTCTCTTCCTCCAGTATTAATATTCTAAAGCTTTACTCTGGACCATTCCAAGTAAGGAAACTTGTTTTCTAGTGGAAGCTGAGACCCAGCTATAACCACCTGACTCTAGGACATGAAGTTTTCACAAAAAAAAAAAAACAAACAAAAAAATACTGGGAGACTTCTAGTGCCATTACAAGAACCTGCCACATTTACCTGCCCTAAGAGCTCCACATAACTTAGACAGCTAACAAAATTCAGCTTCACGCCATTTATTTCATTTATTTTTGAGCCATATCTGGTGAGAGCAATTTCATGGCTGTTTTTATCATTTATTTTCTATATTAGAGTAAAACCTACAGGCTGTGGCCAAATTCAGGATACTGGTAGACTGAGAACCTCAAAAGCTCTTAAAGGATGAGATGAACAAAGGGAGGAAGAACTGAGAGATTCTCTCTCCCTCCCCCTTCCCAGAGAGACACTGTGTGGCACAAGGGATGCAATGACTTTCCCACGCTGCCTCAGGAAGTCCCTGGCAGAGCCCAAAACTGAACCTGGGTGCCGATTTCCAGATTTGCCTCATTTGCAAATCCTTCCTATCAACCCAAAGCCAAAGGGATGAGAGTAGTAACACTCAGACAGCAACAAGAGGGTCCCTGTTGAGGTGTCCCCAGGGCATTTCTGCAGCACAGACCCTGCCAGGTGAGCTGGGACCCGAGGGTGACTTCAGGACTTGTCCTTACACACAGCACAGGGCAGCACCAGCATGTGACCTGCAGCACTCAGTCATTTCCATCCTCCCTGCACCCTCCAAGGTGGCTCATTTTGGTCCAAGAGGAAATTAAGACATGAGTGGCTTTGCTTAGTGCAGCATGACAGGAACAAAGGAACAAAGTTCCTGAAAGTCAACACATTACTGAGGAATATCTCAGACCTGGCAGGAATATCTCTTTGATCAAACAAAAATCGATTTGCCTCTAAACTTTCTGTATTTTAAGGAATCTCTTTGATTATCAGAACACAGCCTGGGGGTGCTGGACTGTTTTCCACATACCTGGGAAACTATCTAATGCAAATAAACTTTTTGACCCCTCAACTATATATTATTATGTAATAAACTTAATGACTTTATGAAAGTTATTAGGAGAAACTGTATGAGCTGTCTCAGGGTCCAGGGATAGGTATTGCATGTTTTAGTATAAATTATTCTGGTGAAAGTAAAAAGGGGGAAGTAACCTTCCAGTTTTCTGGGTAAGGTGATTTAAGGTCACATCAAAAGATAGCAAGCAGTGTTGTTGGGTTCAGAGGTCCGGTCTCCAGTGCATTGAAAATTATATATTAGTGGAGTTTGAGATCAAAAGATTATTGAACTAAAACTCCTTTCTGGTGGGAGGTAAGAGGGTGGGTGAGTACAAGCAAGTGAGGGGTTTGTTTTTGTAAAAGAGGAGAATGGGATGGGCTTCCCCAGGAGCAGGGAAGGGTAAAGACTTAGGAATGGACTAGAATCAGGATTTCTGTTGTTTCTTTCGTCTGGGATGGATTGGATTTAAGGAAAAGTCGTTGGCTTTGCAGGTTGTTCTTGTTAGTGACAAGCACCATCACTGGGACCAGAGTGGCCAAGGTAAAACAAGCCCAGCTGGCCTGAGGGATGTGGGCAGTGCAGAAAGTGCCTCAAACTGCAGCTGGCAGTGCCTGGGGAGACCTGGGGAGACCTGGGGGACCTGGAGAGATCTGGGGGACCTGGAGGGATATGGGAGACCTGGGACATGGGAGCTGTCCCCCAGCACAGGTTGATCTGGGGGTTAGAATGTGAGAGAGGGGTTCAGAGAGCCTGTGGGTCTCTCCAGATCAGAGAGGTTGTTCGTTTGCCAACTCTGGCTACAACGGGGCTGTCCTGAAAAATATTCCTCTTCTGGAAGCACCTCATGGGCCAAAACATTCTCCTTGTTGCCCTGTGTCCCAACAGGGTGCTGCCCCTGCCAGGGCAGCTCTGGGGGCTGTGCTGGTCCCTGTCCCATGAGGGCTGTGGCTGGGCCTTGGCAGTGGCACAGCTTCACCAGCTGCCCCTCACCTCTCCACCTCTCCACCACCATCACCACTCACATGGTTCTGTGTCTTGAAAGAAGAAGGAAGGTTTGCTGTTTATTTTGGATGGCCTTCACAGCCCTGCTTTGTTACTGCAGGTCACACACAAAGGACAACCTTTGTCAGCTTTCCTCTGATCCCTGCTCAGATATATTTCTGGGGCTGATGCCAACCTGGCTGGCTGCAAATGCAGGTGCCCTCTCCTTCCTGCTCTGCTCTGTCCTTTCCCAAGTAAAATAAATTATTTACAGCAGCCTTTGCCTTTGCAGCATCATTGAATTTTGTAAGAGGGCTCCTGTTTGAAGGCCAAATCACGCTGCTCTGTGGACGTGTTCCCTGGACTTTGATGGCTTCTACAATTATGTAGTTTGGTTTTATGTGTAAATGGGCAGATACTTTAAAAGCCTGTTCAATTCTCCTAGAAAGTCTCTGTAGGAGTTGGCATAGGCCAGCTGACAGAGGGCAAGGCATCCTGTGTGCTCACATTTGTGAGGTGGGGTGGAATCACAGAATCATAGAATGGCCTGTGTTGGAAGGGACCTTAAAGATCATCTCATTCCAACCCCCTGCCATGGGCAGGGACACCTTCCACAAGACCAGGTTGCTCCAAGCCTTGTCCAACCTGCCCTTGAACACTTCTGGGGATGGGGCAGCCACAGCTTCTCTGGGCAACCTGTGCCAGGTCCCCACCACCCTCACAGGGAAGAATTTTTTCCTGATATCCAATCTAAACCTGCCCTCTGGCAGTCTGAAGCCATTCCCCCTTGTGCTGTCACCTTCCCAGTGGCCTGGTGCAGATCACACACCTCCCCAGGCTGAGCTCTGTGGGCCCCATCTCAGTGTTATTTTATGTGTTTCAAAGACTGGGGTGGCCCAGGAAAAGAATGAAACACAAATGCATCTGCAGCAATTTGATGATGTGTCCTCGACCTCCTGTGCCACCGAGGCTTTTTCATTCTATTTCTCCATTCCAGAGGAGGGTAATTACACCCTTTTCCCATTTTGTCCTGACAGAGCACTGACATTTTTCAGAGGAGCATCAGGCCAACAAAAGGTGCCGGATTCTTACCTGTCTTTTCCTTAACATTTACATTTTGTTTAACAGATCTTTGAGGTGCCCCAGTGATGGATAAACTTTGTTGTTCTTCAGACCAGATGGGCAGGTATAACCAGGGAAAAGCACAATTTCTGACCCAGAGCCAAAGTGGAGGGTGAAGGTGGTGGTGGTTGGCCAAGGGCAGCATTTGGAAGAGTTTGCAGCTCAATGTCACCAATAACTTCCTGCATAAATTTAATATTCTTCTATTCAGGAGAAAATGGAACTTTGAAAGCTGGTCCCGTACCACGAAATCATCTGCCCATGGGAGCTTTGGGCTGTCTCAGCCCTTGTCACCCTCTAATCCACACACAAAGAGGAACAAGGATGTTGAAAAAACAAAGTGCATCCTAAAAACCCTGAAAGCACTAAATTCACACGCAACACTGCACAAGTAATTTTTCCTCTGGGAAAGGAAAACCAAACCACATGCACCATATACTTGTCATGTGCTACAATATACTCCTGGAGTCATATACAACTCCTGAGAAGATAAAAACAGTATAATAACAATAATAATAATAATCCCCAAAGTATGGACAGTAGGACAGCCTGACCAGCACTGTTCACTAAATTCGGAGAGACATTTCTATTAAGCTGAGGTAGGGATGGGTGAGATGCACAGGGAGGTATTTCTGGGTTGGTGTTTTTGTTTGGTTGTTTGCTTTTTTTTTCATCCAAGTGGGAATCAAACAGCCAAAAGGAAAAGCTGAATTGGAGGGCACGGATGAGAAGCAAGTCACACACACACACACAAACACACAGTAAAGCCCATGGTCTTTGAAGCAGGGCTTAAAATAAAAAATCTCATGGGGCTCAGGACCTCCCTGGGGCTCAGTGCAGCCTGGGCACCAGCAAGAGAGAGGGCTCAGGGATAGGGGCTTCCTGCCTCTCCAAGGCAACAGGATGAGAGTCCCAGCACGGCCTCCTGCATTCCCCAAGCCCAGATAATGTCACCGCTGCAGCCACTGAGCCCTCCCATTTCCTTCAGAGAATAAACACCTCTGCTTCCTCTTGATTCTCCCAACAGATATTTGGCAAGGGAGCTTCTCAATTTCCTCATGAGACATGAAGAAAAGTCGAGGTTTTTCCCAGTTGCGCAAATTTCCCCCCCCCCCCCCCTGATTATAACCTTGGCATGCAGCAAGAAATGATTTCCTCTTTCATCAGTGAAACCTTTGCACAAGCCTCCCCTGGCTCCTCAGCTGGCAGGAAAGACATAGGAGAGGGCACAGTATGCTCTGGGTCAGTGCAGCCTTATCAGTACCTAAATATAATCAGCAGGAGGATATTTCTTGGCATTTACGCCATTCACGCTCTCGGTGACTCCACAGCAATTTCTTGCATCCCACCTTCACTCACCTCTCACCCCTTCTCCAAAAGGCTGGGACACAGAGACTTTCCAAGGCCTTTACCACACCAAACATAGAACATTTTTCCAGTAAAGCTTGCAGAGTAAAGGACAAGTGCAATTATATTTTTTGGAAGGCAACCCGCTGGTAGGAATCACTGTAAGTCATCGGCATCGCTTTTCCCTTCAGCTTGTGCAGTCCTTGTGCAAGGAAATAATTCAGCCCCTCATTTCCCTCTTTTTCTGGGCAGTGAGGGCCATGTCAGCTCTCTGAGAGTTGCTCTGGTGCAGGTCTCAGCCTCAGGGCTGTGGCTCTGCTGTGACAACTCATTGCTGGGTGAGGCACCTGCAGTTCTCTTTTCGGACCCCTCACCATCTCTCAGAGTGAGAGAAGGACTCCACTTCACGAATAGCAAGGACAGGATGCTGAGCAGTTTTTAGCCTTTTGTGTATTGAATCCCTGCTCTGCACAATGGCATGTTTAGGACCTCGCAGTCCCTCGGGAGGAAAACACACCGGAGGAAGCATTTCCTGCCGTGGGCAGTGGACAGCTGGTGTTGAAAGAGGGCAGGAGGCTATTTTGGGGGAGTTTTGGTAATATTATTTTACTCCTCTTGTCAACAGCATCAATGGTTGCCATAACACAAGTGCAAGGACAGATCAAAGGGAGAAGGTGATGGTAGTGAAGGGCCTCAGCTTAAAATGTGTATTACAAGCAGGTATCTTCACTCAAATCTTGTCATCCTCAGACAGGGTGGGCTGTCCCTCCCCTAAAAATCATGTTTTCTGAGCAAGGATGGACATGAGGAGCACAAAAATGCCATGAATTCTCATTTATATAACACCATGCATGGGCTGTGTCCCTGAAGAGCTGTGATAGCTGTGGGGGGTCACAGTGACAATGCAGAAGAAAGAGTATAGGATGAAGTCAAGCCTCTTATACAACCCTGGAAGTGTCCCAGGCCAGGTTGGGTAAGGCCTTGAGCAACCTGGTCTAGTGGGAGGTGTCCCTGCCCATGGCAGAGGGGTTGGGATGAGATGATCTTTAAGGTCCCTTCCAACCCTTAACATTCTCTGGTTCTCTGGTTCTGTAATTCTGTGGTTCTATTTCTGTGGTTCAGTCAGCTCTTAACAGAGAAAGGATTTCATGGGCCTTGTGAAATGAGGACAAGTGGGAATAATAGGGTCAGGATTAGGATGACTTTGGCAATGTTCTGGAAAAACAGGACCCTTTCAGTAAGTAGTAGGAGTATGAGAGGAAGGAATAAAGGAGTGGGCAAACAAACTCATCTGCTGAGCTCTGAGGGCAACAGAATTGCGACAGCCAGAGTTGGGGGAGCTACTCAGCAGGGAAATCTGATAAATGTGAAAAGAAATATTAGTTTCCATTAACCGGTAAGCAAATGTTTTATTACACTGAGCAAGCCAAAAGGGGATTCATCTCGTACAATCGCATGGTTCTAGCCAGTAACTGCCTCCACAAAACCCAGGGCACAACTTAAACTGGCAGTAACATCACCTGTTTTTGAGAGAAGGAATTAGAAATAAAGGTGATGTAAATATGAAAAAAAATTAAAATCACTTTGAACAATCACAGAGTTTCCACGAGTGGAACTGGCTGAAAAAATCTCTAACAGAAGAGTATAAATAAAAAAAAAAGCTATTTTAATTGACCAAATATTTTGTTGAATTCCTATCAAATTCAGTGCACTACTTCAACCAGAAAGGGCTGAGAAGACAAAATATTTAACTTCCAGATTCTCAAACAAAAATATTTGGTTTTCCACTTTGAATTCAAGGGTAGCTTTCCAAAATAAATCTCTGTATAAATATATCTTTAAGATTAAGGCAGGTGGGCGAGTGTTTATCCCTGAAGCCATTTGTTTGCAGCTCGGGGCAGCTTTGCTGGAGATGCAGAAGGACATTTCTCCCAAGAGCTCCTGCCCAAACCCCTGGCATGTCACGCTCCACATTTCGCAGGAACAGCTGCACAGGCTCCTTTTGTCCATCCATCCCCTGGCATCGTGACTGTCATCACTTCTGGTGGCTTCAGCTGACACAAAGGACTGACACAATGAACTGTTCAACACAGATGGGACTGTCCTTTGTGTTGCTGGTGGGCTCATCCATGACTGCTCCAGCACATCCTCAACCCTGGAGGTGTCCAAGGAAGGACTGGACGTGGCACTCAGTGCTCTGGGCTGGGGAGACAAAGTGGGGATCAGTCAAAGGTTGGACTCAATGCCCTTGGAAGCCTTTTCCAGTCTTATTGATTGTGTGATTCTGTGATTCTGTCAGACCACAGTTCTCCAGGTACATAATTTCCCTGTAGCACAAGGCATGTTTCCTTTACTCCTTTTCTTCGTAACACTTCCTTTATTATTAAAAATAAATTAAAAAAAAATTAAAATAATAGGCAGCAAGCTGAATGTTTACTCCATTACTAGTCAAGAGTTGGCTCCTGTGGAAATGTTGGCTGAAGGCACTGCTGTGAAACACAGTGCCTTCTAGGAGAGTGCCAGAAAGCCAAGGGGCAGGTGGCAGCTCTTGAACAATAGTCAATTAGACTTTTTAGGCAAATATTTGCTCATGTGTCCAGACAATAATGTCTTGTGGAAATGTGTTTGCACAATGTCCTTGACAAAGGCTCATCTATTAACCTGGGACACAATTGGGTACAGCTCTGGAACAGCGTTTAACACATGGACTTCTCGACTCGAGCGACAACAGAACGTCACAGATCCAACTCTGAACAAAATAATCAGCCCAAACCACCTTCATATGGTGGGGGTTAAAAGCCTCCTAAATGGGATTTGCTTTTAACCTATAAAAGCATCCAGTGTGCACTGGGATCTGTGACTCAGTTGCCATAATTTCAGTGTGTTTCCAGTTCAGCCTTGGCCAGGTCCCTCAGGAATGGAGTTCCCAAAGGTCCTGAAGGGCACCCACCTCATGCAGTGCCACCACAGGGGAGCTTTGCCTGTGCCCAGTGCTGCTGGGAACCCAGTGGTTGTCCCAACACGGCACTGCCACCAAGCTCATGCAGGGACCACGAGGAGTATCCAGCTTTGCTTGGCACCACAATGATCCCTGATCTTCCTGAGAGCTACTGAGCACCATCCTTGTTCCTCCTCAGCCTGGATGGGGGTGGAAACTATGAAGGACAAGGCCCATCTCAGCTCAAAAATCGTCTTCTAGGGGGCTGGTGCTGCTGGTTCCAGTCCTCCTGAGGATGGCAGAGTCCCCAGAAGGATTTTTGGGTGGTATATGGGGTATTACAGTGTCATGTGGCTGATGAGCATGTAGTAACAAATAATAGTTTAGCCCAATAGCACCCAAACTTGAAATGGGGACTGCTGAATTTTCTATACTGCCCTCTGGTTTTGGGGTGGCACAAAATGAACTGTCTGTAATGGGGGTGGCAGCCAGAAGCATTTGGGAAGTGTTAGTTTAGCCCTTTCAGTTGCAAATAATCATTCACAAGCTGCTGCTCTTCGCCTCCCCTCCCCAGAATTCCTTAATGTGCACCAGTATTTTCTGAATGTTTTGGCTGAAAACGTTCCAGCCTCTGCTTTGCTCACCACATGTTCACCTCATCTCGATGGTGATTCAGTATCCACGAGGTGTGTGAGTCACCTCAGGGATGTGGGATTGTTTCTTATTCCCTGACTGACGTGTGGGCACTTTTACAGGGGAGAACATAATATTTGCTATAGACAGTAAACAGATAAGGCAACTAAAGAGCAACAAACACAGCAGTGGCTGAACTTTGACAGAAAAAAACACACATTTGCTCTAAAACTAATGAAAGTGAGAGAATTCCTGTGGTTCTTTTGGGATATTGATGAAAAATTACGAACCTGTTCCTCTAGTGTCAAGCTCATTGCACGAATAACTGGATGAAATCTTGAGGCTTGTGCTCCTGAAGGAGATCAGGCAAGACAAGCAACTGGTCCCTGCTGACCTCAAAACCGAACCCAGGAGGGACAACAAACTAAACTTACCTTGTTTTTTCATAAAAAGTGTTCCTGACCCAGTTGTTCAGGCTTTACCCCTCCTGATGGATGATAAAAAATCTCCAATTCCTACTACAGCATCCTGACAGTGAAATCACACTCACAATCATTTCACTGTGATCATTATCTTACCCCTCTTTCCCTCCTCAAGGTTATTATTTTCCTGTATCATTTCAATGCTTATTTTTCCACAGGCTTTAAAAGCTCAAGCTCTGAAAAACCTCTTTCACATGCTAAAAGAAACTTTATTCTTCTGGGAAGGTAAGCTCAGGTTTACATTGTGAGCACCACAGAAGGAGACATTTAAGGAACATGAGTTGTGAGGGATTGTGCTGAAAGACTGACTTAGTCACTATAATATGTCACTTTTTCTTCCTTTTCAGTTTTTCTTGGGTTATAAAGCAAAACCTTGACTGGAGGCACATTTGGCTCTCCTGTGATGTCCCAGTTTTGACCACTAATGCATATAATTGAAGACAGTTTAAGAAGTAGGTAAGTATCAAACACCAGGGCTTTAACACCAGGTTTAAATTGCACTCAGAATATTTCTTGGGGTTGTGGCTGAGTGACCCAAACTGCTGAAGTGGCTCAAGACCACAGAGTTCAGGACAGGTTAGCAGGAGTTCATGTGCCTAATCCATGGTGTCATGAAAGAAATTCTTCCAAAAGTTGTTGTTCTGACCCTGAGGATGCTGCTGACACGTGTTTTGATGAAAAGAAAATCATCAATTCAGAAGAGGAAAAAAAAATCATGCTTTGAACAGACATACTCAATGCCTATCACAGAATCTCAGGATCATTTAGGTTGGAAAAATCCTCCCGAATCATCGAGTCCCCCCCGTGTCCCATCCCCATCTTGTCCCCCAGCCCAGAGCACTGAGTGCCACGGCCAGGCCTTCCTGGGACACCTCCAGGGATGGGGACTCCAAACCTCCCTGGGCAGCTCCCCTGCCAAGCCCTGACCACCCTTTCCAGGAAGAAATTCCTCCTGGTGTCCAACCTGAGCCTCCCCTGGCACAGCTGGAGGCCGTTCCCTCTCCTCCTGTCCCTTGTTCCCTGGCAGCAGAGCCCACCTCCCTCTGGCTCCCTCCTCCTGTCAGGGACTTGCAGAGCCAGAAGGTCCCCCCTGAGCCTCCTTTTCTCCAGGCTGAGCCTCCCCAGCTCCCTCAGCTCCTCCTACTGCTCCAGCCCCTTCCCAGCTCCGTTCCCTTCCCTGCACACGCTCCAGCCCCTCCATGTCTTTGTTGCAATGAGGGGCCCAGAACTGGACACGGCACTCGAGATGTGGCTTTACCAGTGCCCAGCACAGGGGAACAATCCCTACCCTGGTCCTGCTGCCGCTCTAGTTTTGCTACAGACTCCTGAAGAAGCAGCTAAAATACATCCTCTGTTAATTACTGCTCTCCAGAAGACGTATTTCACACCATGACTACAGAAACCAGGGCGCACACACAAGGCAAAAAATATTCGTTCCTCTGGGCCAAAAGCTGCTTTCAGTTACACCCAAGAAACCACATGAAAGCCTCGTGCCTGTGGAGGTGCCAAGGCCTCCTCAAAGCACCGCGTCCCATTCGCTGCCGCTGACATCAGCGAGCACGGCAGGCACCCGCAGCTCCCCGGGGCAGCCCAGCACTTGCCAGATCAAGGAATCATGGAATCAATGCTGCTGGAAAAGGCCTCTAAGATGAAGAACGGACGCTCTGGAATGGCAACACGCACGTGTTGAATTCTGCACCCGTGGGTGCACCCTGCAGATGGTGGTATGAGCTGGGCTTGCGCTTACAGGCTTCAGGAAAACAGCCCCTGTGGCAGAGCTAGACTCAACCAATGGACTATTTTGGCACTAGGTGTTGGCTCCTGTCCTTTGGGGATGATTAAGTTTGGTAATTAGCTTTGCTTTCTCTGCAGTTTCTGGGCAGTGATGCTGTTAATGGAAGCGAGCGGCGGAGGAGCGGAACCGGGGTGGGAACGGCTGGAAAAACAGCTGAGCACCTCTCTGCGTCCTGACCCGGCACCACACGGCTCCTTCAGACACTGGCGCCTCTGGAGACGAGGCTGCAAACATACCCCGTCCTGCCAAACCCCAGGACGGGCCTAAAATATGCTCGGAGCAGGATCTCCGGCAAGGAGGGATCACGCTGACCCATCGCTCCATCTAGTGACCGTACATCCTACAACACCCACATCCCCCGTGCCCATCCCTTTGCTTCCAAGGCATCCTAAATAAACGCTCTTTACACAGTGCATCTCCACCATCAGGGGCTGCTTGGTAAAGCGTTTTGTTGTTGTTGTTAGTTGGGGTTTTTTGGCGGGGGGAGTTGGGTTGGTTTTGTCCGAGGTTTTCTCAGTTTAGAAAAGGCAGCAAGCTGCTGCCCTCCAAAGGGGCTATGGATGAATCCTGTCCTCCAGAAGGGTTATGGAGGAATCCAGAAGGCCCACAGGTTATTCCAGCCCTCCAGAAGGGCTACAAGTGAATCCATCCTGGAGCAGTCCTCTCCTCCAAGTCTGTGCTACACTTTACTAGTTAATTAGTAGTTGTGCTGCAAAGGTGAATGGTATTTTGTAGACTACTGGACAGACCCAGAGACAAGAGTAGGAAAAGTGTACAGCAAAAGGAGTGGGACATGTAGATCCCTGTTAAAACAGGATAATGGTCAGGGGCAGCAACATGCTCAAGATACCTGCAAGCTCCTGTACTTTGAAGGACATCTGCATTGCCAGAACATCACCTTCCCAGGTTTGCCATGAGGGATTTTCAGACCAAAGCTAAGTAGAGTCTTCAGCTGCCTTTCACACTTTTATTTTTAATCACTTTTTAGCCCTGGCAACACGGGGGTGGGGGGGGGGGGGGGGGGCGGGAAGCCCTCTTGGCTGCTAGCAGTAGGAATTACTGTATGCTGACCTCTGGTCCCCAAAAAATTGGAAGGACGTGGGAATCAGAGATCCATCTTTCATTTCTGACATCAACATTTGTAAAAAAAAAAACGGAGCTTTTTGCAAAAAGCATCGCTGCTGAACTTGCTGTTGTTAGTGAACACTGTTTTCTCGGGCAACTGTGGGATCCAACAGTCCTTGGAGATTGTGGAGCTTCCCAGGCAGGTGAGTTGCTCCCTTTATTATTCACAAGGTGCTCCCTTCATTATTAAATGTACTGCCTTTCAGCCCGGGAGTTCTGCTGTCTTCAGAAACCCTTCATCTGCACACTTTTAACTTCTTTTCATTTATAAAGCTTTGGTCCCAGCACTTTCTTTAATGAAGAGCAAAATTCCAGCTCTTCAGGTGATAGCTCTATTAGAGATGTTAATGAATACAAGAAGTTGATTATCTTGGAATGGGGATTGTTTTTCAGGTAAAAACTGATTGCTTTACTGACAGATAAAAAGCTTTCTTCAATATGTTATAGAAATTGCAAGGAAAAATAATCTCACCAAAAGACACTTTCATTAGTTTTATTCTTTTAATCACGGAAATATTTCTATAATTATCATTATGTAGAAATATTCCCGTTAAAAAAACCCCTTAAAACTCAGTCTAAATTACCAGGCAGGCTCTCTATTCATAGGTTTGTGGGCTGTGTTGCTCAAATGAAAAAATAATTAACTTCTGAGTAAAAATCCTAATGATGTCGATTTTGCTGCAGCAGATAATGTGCAAGGAGATTCATTCCAATATTGCATATTTGTTTTTCCCATTGCCTTAGAAATAAAACATGGGATGTAAAGGGGAGGGGGGGGAAGGAATATTTTCATCCTAGCAAAGGAATCCCCTCCTGAGCAGGTGGAAACTTGTTTTTCCCACTGCTGTTATTTTCCAAAGCCTTGATCCTGACCTGCCCAGGGGAGGATGCTCTGGAGGGGCCATCCCTTGGCTATGGGGTGAAGCAAGGACAGTGCTGGTGGCACTCCTCACATATTAAATATATTCAGGGTGCTGAGTGGTTCCCTTTTGGTGAATCCTAGTGCCATCTTTTGGGGGAAATAGGAATATACCTTGACCAGCAAATCCGACCTGGCACGTTTGAGGAGAGCAGCTAAGAGTGGCTCTGGGGAGCACTGAGCTGGGGGCCACTTGTCCTGGGGTGAGCACAGTGCCCCCCCACTGTCGTCCACAGCACAGGGACCTGCTGAGGGGACAGGAAAAGTGCAGGATGTTTCCAGAAGGAGCAAGAGGTGCACCTGCAGCGCAGAAAAAAAGCATCATAAAGTCAGGCAGGGGCACTGACTGTCCTTTCCAGCCCCTGATGACTCCATGTCCCTCCTTCAGCTGCCCTGGGGGGATCAGGGTCAGCAACACAGCCTGATCCAGGCTGGGAAAAGGGCACAGCCCAGACCTTCAAACAGAAACTTCAGGGTACAGGGAGCATCCTGAAATGTCCTGTGCCTTTGACTCTCACCAGCCACAAAACTGGAAAGGGATGAGGGAAGAGAGTTTGAATAAAACCTGTGTTGCAAAACATCCCTCAAAACACCTCTTATAAACCACCTGGTACAGCCCTACAGAGGACCAGTGTGGGGATCAAGAGACGGTGATGAAGAGACTTTACCAGGGATCACTGGGGGCATGGGAACTGCACACACGTGTGGGAACACACTCCCCCTTCTGCTGGCACCTGAGGGAAGCCCTGAGCTGAGCCTGAGGGTGCCCAGCCCTCCCTCTGCAACTGCAGGGACAGGGGGGACAGGGAAGGGGGGCACACAGGGATACTTGGATCAGTGTCTACAAAAGCCCCAGCCCACATGTTTGCACCCTGAGATGAACCTTCACCATAAGAGAAGTGCAGTGGCCACATGGGATGTGAAAGCAGGAGGGTTTGACTTGGTGTCCCTTGGCACAGCCTGTGCTGGTAGCCTACAGAACATCTGCCCACAGCCCAGACATGCCAAATGCCAGCGTGGCAGTGGGTTTGGTCCCAGCCTGGCAGCCTCCCTTGTCCCCTGCTCTGCAGGAGCACAAACAGAGGAACCCCAGCCCAGCCTTGGCACAGTAACACCAGGAACATGAGGGTTTGACAGTGTAGTGGGTCTGTGTACTTAAATCACAGAGTCACCAAAGTTGGAAGAGACCTTCAGGGTCATCCAGTCCCATCCTCATCCAGCACCATCACAATCACCCCTAATCCATGGCCCCAAGGGCCACATCCAGACACCTCTGGAACACTCCCAGACACAGGGACTCCTTCACCTCCTTGGGACACTGATTCCAAGGCCTGACCACTCTTGAAGGGAAAATTTTTTCCCTAATCTCTAATCTGAACCTGCCCTGGTGCAATTTAAGGCCATTTCCTCTCCTCCTTTTCCTTGGGACATGGCAGCAGAGCCAGACCTCCCCTCCCTGCCCCCTCCTGTCAGGGAGTTGGGGAGAGCAATGAGGTCCCCCCTGAGCCTCCTCTTCTCCAGATAAACCCCCCCAGCTCCCTCAGCTGCTCCTCACAGGACATGTTCTCCAGACCCTTCCCCAGTTCTGTTCCCTTCTCTAGACATGCTTCAGCCTCTCAATGTCCTTTTTGAAGAAGTGAGGGGCCCAGAATTGAACACAGGATTTGAGATGCAGCCTCATCAGTGCCCAGTAGAGAAGGACAATCACTTCCCTGGTCCTGCTGGCCACACTGTTCTTGATACAGGCCAAGATGACATTGGCCTTTTGGCCAACTGGGCACACTGCTGGCTCACATCCAGCCAGCTGTCAACACTAATTCACATACCAGCCTCTGTACTTTTTTTAAACAGATTTTTTTGTTTTACTTACTGAATAGAAAAATGCTTGATCCCTTCCATACCCACAGCTCCATGGGCAACTTTGGCTGTGGGGGTTGGTTGGTTGGGAGTTGACTGATCTCGTCGACAGGATGAGAGGGCAGAGTCTCAAGCTGTGCCAGGGGAGGCTCAGGTTGGACATGAGGAGGAATTTGTTGCTGGAAAGGGTGGTCAGTTATTGGCAGGGGCTGCCCAGGGAGGTAGTGGAGTCCCCATCCCTGGAGGTGTCCAAGGAAGGCCTGGTTTTGGCACTCAGTGCTCTGGGCTGGGGGACAAGGTGAGGATGGGACACAGGTTCAACTACATTTTGCCAGGTATTCTGGCTGAATGCAGCTGCTTTGCCTCCTCCAATTTCTCTGCTTTTCCACTGTGCCAAAACTGGGGGACAAACACAAGTCAGCCCCAGTGACTCTCTGTAAATAATTCTGCCCCTCAGGTGAGACCCCCCTGCAGAGCTGTCTCCAGCCCTGGGGAACAGCACAGGAAGGACATGGAGCTGCTGGACAGGGTTCAGAGGAGGCACCAAGAGGATCCCAGGGCTGGAGCAGCTCTGCTGGGAGGAAAGGCTGGGAGAGCTGGGATTGTTCAGCCTGGAGAAGAGAAGCTTTGGGGTGACCTGATTGCAGCCTTGCAGGGCCTTAAGGAGCTCCAAGAAAGACGGAGAGAGACTATTTCCAAGGGCCTGGAGTGACAGGACAAGGGGGAATGGCTTCAAATTGAAACAGAGAGGAGTTAGATTGTATATTAGGAAGAAATTCTTGGCTGTGAGGGTGGTGAGGCCCTGGCCCAGGTTGCCCAGAGAAGCTGTGGCTGCCCCTGGATCCCTGGAAGTGTCCAAGGCCAGGTTGGACAGGGCTTGGAGTAACCTGGGCTAGTGGGAGGTGTCCCTGCCCAGGGCAAGGGGGTGGGACTGGATGATCTTCAAGGTCCCTTCCAACCCATTTTATGACTCTATTATAATTATAATTAAAGCCCAACAGACATTTTTGAGACATAGATGATTGAGCCACAACCCAAATGCCTCAGCTTTTTGGCAAAGAAGGAAAATAGAAATGCAACAGACTTCTGCAATAAAACCTTTCACTTTTATCTGCACTGAGTAGGAAAAGGAAAAGGAGAGCATAATAGACTTGGCACCTGGCAGGAGACACACACAGTATGAATGAAACTTCCCTGCTTTTTGTTACACAATTAAAATCACAAGAGCGAACAAAACCATTTGCAGAGTGCTAAGCCAGCACTTTGTACAGCTTCTGACAAAACAACAGAGATGTATGGTCTGATGCTTTTATACAGTCTAGAATGACTGATTACACACTACACATTTAGCACTGCAATACATTTAATTGTTGAGGTAAGTGGTTAAAGAAATGAAAAATGCCTGTTAGCTCATTTTGCACAGCTCTCACCAGCCATTGGAACTGGATATTACATTCCCAGTGCAAACTGCCAGCATTGGCAGGGCTATTTTACAGCTGTTCAGTCTGCATTGTAATGAAGTCGTGACATGAAATGTTTGTGGAAATTGTAATGAAATGTTAGCTGAAAATATATTAAAGCGGTAAGTGTAGAAAGAGAAATGAAGTCTAACATTTACAAACTCCGCTGTCTCCTCGGCTCAGCTGCTGCTGACCTTCCTTTCCTATTGAATTGCACCTCCCAGTTGCTCTCCAGCAACTTCTCTGGGCTCAGTACTTCGAATTAAACCTGACCTTATTTTCTTTTTAAGGCCATTTTTTCATTCTCCTGAACCTCTAAATTCACGAGGGGTTACACTCTTCCTTTTTTCCACTTTCATCTCTTTTTCTGCAAACCTCCTGATGTCCAGTGGCTGTTTCCTTCCCCACATGCCTCAGATCCATCTTTCACTTTCCAAGCCTATACAGAAGGATAACCTGTTTGGGTTTCCCTGGGTATTGGAGCCTTCTTGGCATCCCCTGACCACCTGCAATTTCCCTTTCCATAAGGGTGAGCTAGGCTAAATCATCCTCCTGGATTGTTGCTCTCACTGTGTCAACCCACGGTTTGATATTCTGGTTGGATTTCTGTTTACTGACAACTCAGATCTGATCTCATCTCACCATCATCAAATCAGGTCTAACACTCAGCACCAAGTAATCCCTGCAAGGGTAGAAGCTCCCCTTCTATTCTCATTCCATCCCCTTCCATAAATTGGTAATAAGGGGCTCAGAGTCATGACATTTTTCCTACCTCTCTGACAGCATTTCAATACTCTTTTTCTTCTTCTTTACCTCTTGATTTTGGCCTCCTTCTCCTATTTTTACTTCCTCTTTCCAAGCCCAACTTGTACTAGTTCTTTTATTTCCATACATCCCTAGTTGTATGGCCCTTCTGCCATCTTCTAAACTTTAATCTTTCAGGAACAGCCAAAGTAACAACCTTTATTTTTTCCACCTGAATCAAGCCCTGCTCTTCTCCAAAGGCTGTGTGCCACTTACTTTAGTCTTCATTTGCCATTTTTTTTCCTTGGAAAGTTGTGGTGGGAGCTTTACAACTGATGACCATGCAGAGGTACCTGGAACTTTTCCATAGTTGTAACCAGCAGCCATGCAGGGAAACAACAGACACTCCAGTCCCTTGGGAGCCAGGCTATGAGCTGTCTATCTGTGCCAGGATATGACCCCATCCCAATGTCCAACCACCTTCTACACATTTCCTGAATTTATCCTCAGAGCACTCTACAATTAAAAAAACGCCAAAAATTCCATGCCCCCTCCTTGAAGAAAGAGCTGAATGGAAAATGTTCAGCCAGCCTTGGTAGAAAATACAGAATTTTCCAGCATTTATTAGCCTTGTGTATTTAAAGACACGAGCACTTCAAAGCAGCGTCTGTTAGTCATGATCTGTATTTACCACATCCAGCACAATGGGATCAGACTCATGGCTGGGTCATCTGAATGCCATTCTCATCCCAGGAAAATGAAATATCTTGATGTACCAGACAAGTGTTTCTGGGAACAGCACGGGGACATTTTTCAACCGTAAAACAAATCGATGTTTTGACTTTCTCCTTTTTTTTCTTCCCCTTGTGTTTTGACTACGCTGATGCAGGTGAATATACCCCTCCCCAACCCACAGGGGAAAAGGGACATTATTTTTTTTTAAAGTTTGCCAGTTCAGTGGTCACTGTGGTTGCACACTGGAGAGCTTCACAAGCCCTCCAGCTCTTCTCCGGGAGGGTGGAGGAACGTGCTCTTTGAAGCCTTCTATCATCCCTGGCACTCCTGTGCCCATCTTTCAGGTGGCCAAAGGATCTACAGGGCTGTTTTGTGACACAAACCAGTAATTTAAAAAAAAAAAATGTGAAAGAATCGAGTAAAAAGTGTGCCTAAAATTTAAAACTTGCCTTTAATGTCCTCTTAGGGCTGCTCTGAAGCCTAAAAGTGCCATGGCAATCTTTTAGCTCAAGTGCTTGTGCCTATTTTAAGAACCCATTTTGGCATCTGGATGTGGCACTTGGGGACATGGATTAGGGGTGATTAGGGTGGTGCTGGGTTGATGGTGGGACTGGATGATCATGAAGGTCTCTTCCAACCTTGATGATTCTCAGCTGATGGAACTATTGCAGTCAACAATTTAGAAAAACCTTCCCAGTGGTCTGCTAGTGGAAAGACCTGAGGAAAGGAGGATTTTCAGTTCATGAGAAAGAAACTCCAAGGAAAGAAGAGCATGAAAGTCCATCTTTTAGCTGCTCAAGCTGCTCACCTTTCAGTTAGGTGAGACTATAAGAAGATCATGGCTGGGGAGAGGCACAGACTCCAGTGGGATGGAGGTGGCATCCAGAGAAGTCCTACGTGGCAATAGTTTAGACAGAAGGAGACGTCAGGCTGGGCCATGTAAAAAAACAGGGATAAAAGGGGGGGAAGAAAAGGGAAAAAGAAGAAAGAGGGCCCATTAACAATTATCAGAGAAGAAGAGGAATAGGTCTGTGAAGTGGAATATGTCTAAGCTTGGCAAACTCCCAGTCCAAGGGAGCGTGATAACAGTCTACAAATATTTGGAAAGCTGTAAACATTGAGGCAGGCAAGGAACTGTGGAGTGTGATGCATGGGGAGTGCAATCAGATGAAGCTGCAAAATACAAAAGCAGCAGGAAAGCAACAACAACAACAAAAAAACTTTGACAATGAGATGTATCATCTTCTGTGTTACGGGAATGGGTGGAAATACCCTGGAGTTGAGACCTTTTCAAATGAGAAGAAGGTTCAGGAAATATCAGTAAGTGTACAATTGAAAATATTTCTGTTTTACTGAGGAAGATGGATGGGGCTTCCCAAGCAGAATTTCTCACTACTTCTAGGATTGTGCATTGAAAACCATTCTGTTCCTTATTCTTATGCTTATAAAATATATGCAGATCGATACTCTGGTATACAACACAAAAATTTTCTGAGCCTGGTTTTGAGGAGTCCTCACTCCACTGATTTAAA